TCGGCGCCATAGTCTCATTGGATCAACCTCATAGATCTTTGCGGCGCGTCGGAGAGTTAATTTTCGGTCATTTTTAAGGGCACGAAGTGCGAGAATAACATTAGCTTCACTATTGAATTCAGGCATATTGGGTGGTGAAGAAACAGTTGACGACGTAGACATGTTGTAGGTTGAGGGATTTTTGTAACACTCACGTGTTTGTAACACTCGCTTATCATGGACGTTATTTTATAAAGTCTAGTAAAACCTTGTTGCAAATGAACTACAGACTTCGAGAAGACGCCCTCATCATTTCCGCTTGTTCTCAGTGGATTGGACTGACGAAGAGCCCATGTAGCTTAAACAAGCACTTATTTGCCCAGTTCCAAAACTCCCGATGGACCAATACTGAGCTTGACCCCAGGCTTGGTAGCCCAAATGACATCCGGATGAGCTATATACAACCACGGAGGATTGTCATGCACCCTTTTCAAAGCATTCGCATACGCCTTCTTCCTATCGTCTCCCTTCGTTTCTGTTCTCGCCTTTGCAAACAACCTCTGAAACTCATCATCATGATACCCCAGCCACCACGTACCATGCGATTCGCTCGACACCTTGTCGTCTAGAACCCGAAAGGTCGTGTTAGGCGTCGAGTCAAAACAAGCTAGGTCACCAATGTTCTTCCGCAGCCCTATCGAACGTGCGTATTCTGGACGATTTGTCTCAATCTCGACGTCTACTTTGAAACCGATGGCCTCCAGAGATCTCTTGACGAACGCAGTTATCTTGATAGCGTGCTCCGGCATCCATTCTGGCGTGCGCAGGCGAAGAGGCCTGCTCAGGTCAAGGTGCTTGATGAGCTCTTTCGCTCGCTCAGGGTCATAGGGGATGGGGCTTAGGTTTGCCTCCTTGAAACCAAGATGGTGAGGACTGACGACGGTTGCAGCTGGCGTCGCAAGGCCCAAGTAGACTTCGTCGACCAGAGCTTGGTTATCAATGGCGAGATTGGCAGCGAGGCGCACCTGCGGTGAAGAGAAGATTCCCTCTGGGCAATTGAGGTAGTAGATGACAGACAAGGTACTTAAAACTCTTCCCCATTGTAGCGAGGCTTCGAAGTCAAGAAGACTCAGGTCGTCAATGCGTTCCAGGTTCAAGGCTGCATCAACTTGTCCACCTTGCAAAAGCTTCAGCCTTTCTTCTCCGCTGCGAGCCGCCGTAGCAACGATTTTCCGCGGCCAATTTGGGTGCTGAGCAGGATCTACCAACTCAAGTGTTGCAGATCCAACGCTGTCTTGCCGCGTAAATTCGACAACACGATACGGACCCGTGCCGAGGATTGGCTTTCCATTCGAGTCAATTCTCGACGGCCAA